AGTCTGTCGGTTTAATTGTTCGTTCGTTCTTTCTTCCAATCATTTCTTTCTTTCTTTCTTTTTTTCACTCCTTTCTTCTCCAGAAGATTAACATTTCAATTCTCTTCGTATCTCTCTCGAATTCGACTCGACGTCTTTTTCCTCGAACGTTCGTCGAGAAAACGAACACGATACGACAATTTGGATTTTCCACGAGCTGGCGTACGCTCGTGTAAAAGTGTAATTTGAGCGTGGAAGATTAAACGAGGCCTCGCCGACGAAAGCAGTTTCCCACTTATCGGCCGATTCACTTTCGATCGGCAGCTCGCAAACGCGTGTCGCAAATCTTTGCAATTGCCCTCAAGAAAGTAAGTGGAAAGCAGCGAGATTTATATTCTACTTTGATGTTCCCAGCAAACTTGTTGAACCTGATCTTGAATCTGGTTTACGTTCACGTTCGTGTATATGGAGCGACGTATGGAGAACGATCGAAGAATAATTTGAGCTACTTTTCCGGAACAATAAATAATAACGAACGGGTGATCGAAACCGGACGAGGCCGATGGAAGAGAAATATAGAAAAATAGATTTTGCTTCTTCTTCTTTCCTTCGTATAAATAACATAACTTCTTACGATATTCCTCTCTTTTTCTTTATCCATCGAGCAACCATTAGACAATTATCGATTATATTTTTCCCGCTGTGGAGAACGGTTCTATCGTAGAAACGATCGATCGGAATGACTTTATAAAGGCTGTTCAAAAAGGGGAAATTGAGCGTGAAAAGGTAGCAAAAAGACGCGCGGCATTGTCCATTGCGCAAAGGCCGACGAGACACGGGGTTCTCCACTTCATCCATCCATCCATCCATCCTTTTCTTCCGTCCCATTTTCTCTCCGTCAAACGTTCCAAACTCGTTCTTTCGTCGTCTATTTTATCCTGGAAAACGATCGATTAACGATCGTTTACCGCGTGACAACTTGTTGCGAACGTTGTAATTTTTTCTTTCTTTTTTTTTTCAAGATTTAGATTTGAAAAGTGATCGGAGAGAAATTTTCTTTTCATTCACTTTCGGATCCGGAAAAAAGCGGTTACGAAAGGGAATATCGACGGAATGGAATTTAGGGACGATGTTTTCGTGGCTGATTTATCTCTCGAATCGACATAATCGAATGGAGGATTTTTCTTTCTTTTCTTCTCCATTGCCTCCACTTTCGATCACGTGCTCGGCCTTCCAAGCCGGTAGTCTCTTTTGGGTCGCTCTGTACGACAACGTGTGCACGGTGCTGCTGGCATTGAGTTGTAGTCGTAGTAGAATAGAGCAACTAACCAACTAACCACGAGACGTCAGTAGGACAGTGAAAGGCGACCTAGACCAAGTCTCTCCGGCGGCGCAACGCTGCTGGAACTTGACGAAGGAACGCCGATGTTTTCGTGCACGTGTATACGTATACGCGAGCCTCGCTGCTCGCCCGAGTGTGTTCGTGTATTGCATCTCCGGAGGCGAGCCGATCTTTCTGACCCGATCAACGGGAAATTGGGACAAGTTGCGACAATTGTCCACTCGCAACGACCTCCAGCATCCATGGAACGTGCACTTGTTTCGCATCTGCGAATCTACACCGTGTTTATTATTATTATTATTATTATTGTTATTATTATTACTATCATTATCATTAGAGAGGATGAGTTTACATAATTCATCGAGGGACGAATTTATTGGGGGCAAACGATCGTTCTTGTTAGTTAGTCGGATCGCCAGATGCTCGTTTTTATAGAGGGTTAAGGACGAGTCTCTCTCTCTCTCTCTCTCTCTCTCTCTCTACGAGTCGAATGGACGAACGATGAAAGTGTGTATATATATATTGGAAGATGGATAATCGAATAATATATAAATAATAAGTAAGCTTTCGTCGCGGCGAGGCAAGCACGTGGGCTCCCAGCAACAACTCTTACGAGATATTTGAGTCCTCCATTCAAGCCTACGGCAACATACCACGGCAATTTATTACCGGAAATTTCTTTTCTCGTTGCATCATACCTGGTTCCACGGGAGTCGTACGAAATCCCCCTGAACGAAATCACGATGAGAGAGAGTACGAGAGGAGGTATTGGTTGGTGATTGGCCGCGCGAGAAATGGCGCGCGACGTGGCCGTCGAAATTTCGATCCTCGGAATTTTTTATCCCTTTTCCCCCAGAGGGGAAGAAAGGACACGGGTTATCGATCGAACGGTGCCGTTACGCGCAAACGGCAAATGCACAAGTTTCCATAGATCTTTTTTCTTTTTTTTTTTTTTTTCCATCACCTCGATCGTTCCATCCTCGATAAATCTTTTCGAACGAGATAGAGAGTCGAAGAGGCGAGCGAATAGCAGAATCCTAAAATTATCCCCGATTCTACCGGTGCCGCTGATAAACAAACCGTTTTTCGTTTAAAATAACACGTCCCGAATGGAACGTTCTCTTCGTGTTATCCACGGGCTTGCGCGTGGATAAATATTCATAAGTCTCGATTCCTCGAGAAAAAGTTGGACGAAGAATCGGGGAGGATGGAAAGAACGGTGGACTTCGATGGAGGAATTTTCGGGAGGCGTCGAAAAAAAGGATTTATGATTTAGGATTTAGGATTTAGGAAGGGAAATGGGGCGAGCGTTGAGAAGGTTTGGGTGCGGAGAAGGTGAGAGAGAATCTGAGGACATCTGGTCCCCCCCTCTATTGGAAGGAGGGCGCCCTTTCGATTTCGTTTCGATCCGAGTCGTGGATGCCGACATTGCCCTCCTCAAACGAGGGAAAGTTTGATCGGTTGATCGAAACTGATGTTGATCCACGGCACGGGATTCAAATTTTCCTTTATATTTTCCAATCTAAGCAAATAAATCTCGCTTTGGAACGCGAGATTTTACTTTATATATAGCAGAAGATAGAAGGATTTCTCTTCCTCATGCTTGCTTAAAATTTTAATGACTCAAGCCATCAAAGTTTATGTCGATTTGTCACGAATGGATTCCTCGCTAGATATTGTTCTCGTCCATACGTTGGGAACGTATAACAGGGTTCAAAGATCGAGGCAATCTCGGCCGGGGAATTAACGACGGAGGATTTTAGAAGGAGATTAAAGAGACAATCCCAACGAGGAACCCGTACGAAGGCCTCGTTCCTGGAACGCGTTAACCTGTTCCGGAAACAGGTCCACGTCAAAACAAACGTTAATGACAATAATTAAACTTTTTTTTATTTCCATCGAACAGCGGTCGCCGAGCTTAAAGAAACGCGTGATTTATCGTTCGACCACTTCCTGCATGGGATTAGACGTCAAGGTTACACGTTGAAGACCTCTGAAGTCGTAAAATCAACCGTTGAATTCGATTAGAAACACGCGTGGAACAGAGAATTGTCCATTGGTTGACGGAAATCGCGAAATACCCTCGGCGTTGCGAGCGGTATTGGACGAGTTAATGGATTTACGGAAGATTGTTCCCTCGACGCGTGTGAGATACACCAAGGTATATACCTATCCAAGGCAGACGCGCGACGTTTAAAACATTAACGGGTCAATGGCGCGGCGAAACGACGCTGCACCGTAAACACATTCGTATTCTTGGACAGGGTTTTCGGAGGTCGGTTACCGCGCGTGGCCAATTAACGTCGAAATAAAATCCGCTCGTGCGCCATTCCAAAGAGTTTTATTATCATGCGCGGGGCCATTCGACAGGAAGTTTCTTTGCCTCTTGAATCATTTCGATCGTTAACGAAATCGTCCTCCTCTTTCGTTTCTTCGTTTCGTCGCGAATAATAATATTCCTGATCACGATCACGCGAGCAGTCCAAGGATTTTCTTTCTTTTCTCGATTTTAAACTTCGAGAAAAGACTTGCTCGAGAAAGAGAGAGAGAGAGAGAGAGAGTGGAGAAATTGTTGGCAAGTACTTTCGGGGCACCCGGTGTGTGGATAGAGTTCCAGTCCGCAGACTCCTACTCGCTGTCAGTGAAAACCGCATCGATAGGATAGTCGGTGCAATGGAACGCGAGGGAAATGAGAAAAGTCGGGCACCGATGAAAGTGAGAGGACACCGGCTACAGGCCGTTTCAACCTTCTCGTTTCCTTTCGTTTCCGTACGAGGAGAAAGGATCTCTATCCTCTTTCCTTCTTTTCTTTGTCCTTCTGCTTGAAAATTCAATCGTATCTACCTGCGATCGCTTTCTAAATAATATCGAGGAATTCCGCTATTGTTCCATAGAAAGTTCACTTTTACTCGAAATTTACAATTTACAATTCGAGGGAATGAGAAAAGACGATATTTTCTTTCTTTCTTTCTTTCTTTCTTTCTTTTTTTTTTTTAATAAATAAATATATATATTTTTCTCGTAAATCTTGGCGTAAGATTTGAAAAAGATGGCGGGGAATTTCATTACCCGTGGAACACAATGCTAATCGCGATTTCGCAGAGACACAACGGACGACCGGAGAGACCGTTGTTATAAATAATACCGTGACGTACGTAACTTAGTTATTCAAAAATACAAAGTGCATCTCGAAAGCGTTTCGAACGGATGATAAATAGCGACCGCGAGTTTGACGATTTATTCCTGGACACTTTTCTATCTCTCTCTCTCTCTCTCTTTCTTTCTCTCTGTCTCTCTCTCTCTGTTTCTCTCTTCCTTCCCCCCTCCCTCGACGATCGCCGTAGAGATGGTTACGCAAACGCGTAACCGACCTTTAAAAAACGGATAACAACGGATAAAAATGGCGGGAAAAAAAGAAGAAACTCATCACCAGTTTCGATACGAAATTCCTCGAAATATCCATCGCGTATAATCGTGTCATCGGCATCGGTACAAAATCTTGGAGAAAAAAAATTAATCATTCGACGCGTAAAAACCAAGAATGTTATTTATTTAATTTATTCCCTCGTCGAAATCCGGCCGGCGAGGATACTACTTCGTCAAAGATACTCGACGATATTCATCATCGGCTACGTTTGAACTGATCGAACAATTTTTTTTTCTCTCCTTTTTTTCGCAGGTTGACCGTTCGAATGGAAGCCGTTTGAGCGGTCGAGAGGATCCTCCCACGAGGAAGAATCCCGGTTTGAGAGTGAAGAGAGCTGCGAGGAGAGAGAGAGAGAGAGAGAAGACGAGAGGAACACAGGGTAGCGGATCGGTAATAATAAACGAGATACAATGGCGGGCGAAGACACGCAAATCCTTGCGAACGGGAACGTGGAGGCGCTCACGATAATTCCACCGAAAATGGCGAACGGGAACGGGCTGATCTGCGGGAAGCAGCACAACAACAATGGATCGATACCTAATGGAAAGTTGCACGAAATAACAGCGGCGGAAAACGGGAAATTGATCATGTCCGACGAGAAGTCGAGCAGCCTTCACACCGAGTTCGATGATGCCGATGTGTCCTGCGGCTGGGGCCCGTGCAGGCCACACTGGCTTCAATACTTCGCCACGAAGCAGGCCTTCCTGGTCACCTTCTGCATCACCTGGGTTGGTTTTGGGTTAGGTTTTGGTTAGCTTTTGGATCAACTTTTCGCTTCGATCGAGATCTAATCTAATTCTCGAGGGAGAAGAGTGGATCTCCGGCCTTGTGTCGCTGCCGAGTATTTCCCAATCTTTCGAACGAATCGCGAATATATAAACACTTATTTCCTAATAATAAATAAATAAAATAAAAAGAGACAAATCTCGAGAAAAGATTGAAAAACACCCAACTTTTAGACTATATCTCTCTCTTATCTTTCCCTATTTTTGATAACCAGTCGTTGATCAAAATTTTTTCGTTAGTTAGTTTATTCGTATAATTCGTACAGCGACTAATAATAGTGTAGCGATATTAAATTTTATATATCGTTGAGATCGCTGATTTCTGTATCGTGATTTCCACAGGTTCTTCAGGGAATGTACTACACGTACTTCGTCTCGGTGATCACGACGATCGAGAAGTTGTTCCAGATACAGTCGAAGACCACCGGTATTATAATGTCAGCGACGGAGATCGGGCAGATCGGTTCCTCTCTCCTGCTTACGTATTACGGGGGCCAAGGTCACCGGCCTAAGTGGATCGCTTGGGGCATGATCCTGTTCGCGGTGAGCTCGTTCACCTGCTCGATGCCCCATTTCATCTTCGGTGAACAGCTGATCCATCAGAACGAGATGTTTCTCAGCGGGGTCGAGGGTGGTGACCCGAACAACACCCATCCCATTCCTGCCAACCTCTGCAAATTGCAGGAACGATCGGAAAATTCTACGCTCGAAAGGTAAACGTAGTAAATCTCTTTTTTTCCACATTTGTCGATTATCGTTCGTTCGTGTATTTTTTTTTTTTTTTTTAAACTCTCCGCATTTC